TAGCAGGATTAAGGCGAGGTTAAAGGTCGCGGGTCGGACTGGCAGGTCCCTGCCGTACCGTTCCGCGATGGCGTGAGTGTAGTTGCTTATGTCTTCAGCTCCAGCTGAATAGCTATGAATGTTGGAATGATCAGTCAGTAATGAAGTGGAAAGGGTATGGAAGGAGACGGTCGCGGTCTAATTTGAGGTACTGTCCTTGTATTTTCTGAGAGGAGCTGAGACAACCGCAAAGTAACTCAGGGTAACCGGTCTCCTGGTCGAGATTCGAACTGCTAACCTCCCGACTAGCTAGAGGTGAGAACTATACGGTGACGTCCGGTAAAGGGATAATATTAAAACTGGTCATACAGAGACAGGACAGACCACATAGCTCAGTCAATTTAGTTACTGCGTTATGGACTGAACGACAGAGAATCAGGGTTCGAGTGCCTGCAGCGGCAGGGACGTTCCTTTTCTCAGTTTATAACGGCCCTGGGGCCCGGACAATGTCCTATACAGTGAGTATCAGGGACTGTTCCCCATGGGGTGAACCAGCCGGGGCGTGAAGCTGACAACTCATCTGCATCTACTAATGAGATTAAGAATACATGGAGCTGTACTTCCATTCCCACATGCGTCCTCATGGCGTGCTAAGCTAAGCTGAGGGACATGTTTACCTTTGCCTTTCTCTTCGGGCTATGCCACTGAGTGGCCTGAGGCCATGGGAACCGGCGTTGCGGAAGAAGCTGAGGGTGGAAGGAGTACGTGGTGTGTTCTTATTGAGGTACCAGACTACACGACATCATAACTCAGAAGCCACAACCCCATATCTCACATACAACTCTACAAGCCACTGCTGTATGTTGTTATCACTCTCAGTAACAAGTGCGAATCCCTGCCCCCAGCTTCGAACCAACGCCTCTCCAATTAGCAGTGAGGTTTCCTCACTGTAATTAGATGCTATCTCAGGCAGAACCACTCGAAAGCGAGTGTTCACACAACTAATTACGAGTAGCAGGCTTCTTCATAAGCTTATAGTGGCTCAGCTTGTCGGGAAGTACTCTGCCTCTTAAGGAACCTCAATTGTTCTTAGCGTGTTCACAAGGGCCCTGCAAGTCCACAGCCCTGTGTGACGTTTCGTTAGGTGCCGCTTTCTATGGTGGAGGACCATCTGTTCTTGGCTGTCCTCGACTGCTTACTAGGACCACTCGCTCAGGGGGGGCGCCCGCACTGCCTCTCACAGTCGAATCGAAATACGTATCCAGCGAGAGGTGACATGTGACAAGGCCGGCGCGTGGCTGAAAGGTCAGGGAAACAGTAGAGGCTAGCGACACGGGACACAGCGCCCTCTGCCCTCAGACTTAGTTTCGCGCCTTCTTTGCTTCCATCTTCAGGGCTCAACACAGTGCAATATCATAACCCAAACAGCCACAATGCTTACTGTCTAGGAAACCTCACCCCTGTTTTGCGAATAGATTTGTATCTGCAATAAATTAATACCACGGCCAACAAAATATTCAGAATAGAAAATACTGAATTTCAAAAATATATGTACACCTACTCCATTAGCCGCTTAAAAGACAGTGGTAATTATGTGTATTACCTAGTACTTTAAATTTCATACCTCTACATGTTGCCAGCACAGCGCTTTAATCTTTAATAAATAGCGTTTCCTCCCTAAACAAGGTTAACTTGTTGGCATTTGTAATTGAGACGCGGTGTGTGAGGACTTCATGATTCCGAGTGTTACAGTAAGCTGAAAGTTCCCTTCATTTACACATTCAAAGCCTCCGTAGGACTATATATAGGTCCCTCGACATGCCTGCATACACCTAGGTTACTGGAAAATGTGCGATCGAGATCACGTGATAAGTGAAGTGTTTCCTGGGGATTTCCCCGCCCGCTCTAGGAACCAAATCGACTTCTTGCAGGCAGTCACATCGCGCAGTTTCCCACAGCGCTTAGTCAGGTTGCCAGCACTGCATCGACAACTCGATTAAAAGTCTGTATCCGTCAGAGCTAAAATGCCTTAACTCCAACTTGAGGCTTCAGTTCCTGCCAGTTCAGGAAGCAAGGAACAAGTTCTGGCTTGAACTGCGGAAGTTCCTCATGCGGCCGGAAATGAACCATTTCTCTTCATAACATCCACTCTCACGGATTCGTACTTGTCAGTTTCGTGACGTCACCATCAAATTAATTTATGCAGCGGGGTCTTCTCGAGAGGCTACCCGTCTCTCGCCTGCTTAGAAACTCGCTGTACGTGTATTTTGTGGAATCTCAAGGTTCGTTTCCGTGTTCACAGCAGCCGCCACGGGACTGAGCCCAAGCCGTGATAAGTGCAGATTTATTTACTTAGCTCGGTAGTTAGCTGCTTACTTGTCTAGCGAGCTGGTTAGTTAGTTTGTTAGTTGCGTGATTAATCACCTGGTCATGTAGATCTTAAGTTACTTGGTTACNGCTGCATACTGAACCACCCAATCACTGATCAGCCGTAAAAGTAAAGAGTTAAATAAGAAACTAACTAACTAACTAATCAGCTAGAAGCAAAATACTTAAACAGGTAACCAAGTATGAAGAAAGTCGTCTTCTGGGATCCGGCGCCATGTATTCTTTGTTTCAGCCGACGTTTCGGAGGAACGTATCGCCTTCATCTTCAGGGCAGGTGAATTGTGTCGCAACGCAATTCACCTGCCCTGAAGATGAAGGCGATACGTTCCTCCGAAACGTCGGCTGAAACAAAGAATACATGGCGCCGGATCCCAGAAGACGACTTTCTTCATACTTGGTTACCTGTTTAAGTATTTTGCTTCTAGCTGATTAGTTAGTTAGTTAGTTTCTTATTTAACTCTTTACTTTTACGGCTGATCAGTGATTGGGTGGTTCAGTATGCAGCCCCTGCGTCCCCTGCTGCCCGCTTAGCCTTGCTCCCTCCAGTTTCTCGCGACAAATCAAATCATCCTTCAGTTTCTTCGATCTTGGGGCGTCTGGGAATTACCTCCCGGGAGCAAACCGCCGGTTTGAGACAGGCAGTGACGAATGCGCTTATTTAATAATGATTAGGTTATATAGCGTTAAATAGCAATGTGTGTGAGAAGAACACAAGATGAAGTGACCGTGGCCTATCTTAATGAAATATGCCAGAATTGTCCATGAGGGACTCAAGCAAACTGCTGAGTACCTCAGTCAGGTTTCTCGCATTCCCGGCCAGTACTCGAAAAGGGACTTCCTGAACAGAAAGGCAGTCATGCTTTTATTCTCCGTTTGAAGCATTAAAAGGTAAAATTGTCCCTGTGTTTAATTAATTAAGCACTACGCCATGAAGGCGTATGGCAGAATGGACGTGCAGCTCCACTATACCTCTCCTCGGCACTAGATGGAGGTGAGTGGTCAGCTTCACGCCCCTACCGCTTTGCCCCAGTACCCATTGAAGGGAGACAGGGTGGGCCCCAGAGCCGGTCTTGAACTTGCCGGTAATCGAAACTCGGCCATCGAGCCCGTCGCATTATATTCATATAAATATTAGTTCAAAATTGCTTCCGATCTCACAGAAAACACGCTCCATTGCCATTACAAAGACCAGCTGCTTACTGCTGTTCAGTGTGAGAATCATGTTGAAGCTGCGGGCAGATGGCAGGCCTAAGCAGGTTCAGTGACTGTTTCCTCCCGCCATCGCGCGACAGTTGCAAGCCCGACACTGTACCAACATAGCGGCAGCAATCTGGAGGGGTCGGGTAGCTCATGCAGTACCGGAGAGCCCGAGTTCGATTCCTGACGACAGCTGTTGTTTCTCTCGTCTCCACAGCGTCCAGATCGACTCTGGTCCGACCCAGCCTTCCCTCTAATGTGTACCGGGGCTGTTTACCCGGGGGAGGATAAAGTTACCGGAGCGTGAAGCTGGCCATTCATTTTCATCTGGTACCGAGTTTAAAAATGCGGGAGTCATACCTCCATACGAGGGCCTATAGTAGGCTGTAGTACCAATATTTACTTTATAATCAAGTGGGTTGGCTTAGCGATAAGGGTGTAGACTCGTCTTGGGGGGTGCTTGGTTCGAATATCGGTCGCGACACAGCTATAATGACTGAGGCTTATCATAGTTCTCCTAAGTCTCTCCAGGAAAATTTCTGTACTAGGCTAGGGTCGCTTCCTTCCAGAACCTTTCAAGTTGATCTGTCATCGTAACATTCCACACTGTACAGTTTATGTGCTGGAGCCTTGTAAATGCTCACTCGCTTGTGGCGTTGGAACGAAAGGTTTCCGTCAGACATGTCTCCTCTGCTGTCTGCACACAGCAGCTTGGACAGCGCGTGCACCGATACTGCTGCCAGAACCAGCGGGGTTATGCAGTTGTTGCATGGAATTCTGGGCGCGCGTTCCACGGAACTTGCAACTGCATTTATAGGCCTGCTTACTGCCGTCCACGGGCCCTAACTGATGTGGGCCTCAAAGTAAATTGAAGCCACGAAACTGACAGTTGTTAACCAGGCTTGCAACTAACACGAGCTGAATCTGAAAGGTTGCGCTCGTACACTAATACACTAATACAAATATTGTGCTTCTGGGCATCAGGCACCCTTCTGCTTGTATTGAAAACACAGACAGGGACTGAGTCCAACTGAGTTACATTCCCCCTGAAGACGGAGACAGAAACACAGCATTTTTACTTAATCCGAAAGCTCAGTTAGATTCTTAACATGAACCTAGTTTCATGAAGCTGAGGTCTTCAAGAGAAGCTGACAGTCGCTCATATGGGCGCCGCCGCTTTGAGTAGCCACAAAATTTGCTTGCAGATTTACGTTTACGCCGTTAAGACTTTTCACCGAATGCCCTGGAATATTCAGGATAGTGGAATAATTTTTAAACGTACTTTTATTTCTGTTTTTAGTACCTGGCGTGTTTCCTTCATTACTTCCATCTTACATTTCCCCCCAAACATCTGGGGGGGGGGGGAGCGCCCATGATCGCTCAGCTTCTCGAGAAACTCCCAGACCCTAGGCACCCGCTGCCCGAGTTAGACTGACCTGCGGACCTGGGGCAGCAGAAGTTGGCTCGTGTGTCGGCACGCATCCACCAAGGTACGTCGCAGTTTCCGGATCTTCTCTCGCAACTCGGGAGAGTCCCTGGCTTGTCCCACGTGGATCAGCAAGTCCCTGAACAGGGCCACCTGACTGTTGATCTCCACAATTAACTGTAACAGGTACATTGAGCTCAGCACAAGAACAGCCATGTCGCGAAGCAAGGGAGAGTCCCTGGCTTGTCCCACGTGGATCAGCAAGTCCCTGAACAGGGCCATCTGACTGTTGATCTCCACAACTGATTGTAACAGCCACCTGCAGCGCAGTGTGGCCAGTCCGGATTACGTTGAGCCCTAGACCTAACATTTGCTGCAATGTGTAGATAAATATATAACGACTCTAGTTGTTTCGATGTATCGATTCCTAGAGCCCATAGGCCGCTCAGAATGCTGTGTGGGTCCTTCACTCAAAGTCCGTGCTTTGATTCCAGCGAGTTAATTTAACCCACTTGCTTTGCTCCAAGGTTTATTGACTCACCGTGTGTGATGCGAACAGTCTGTATGTGAGCGCTCTGACGGCCTGTCACTGATACCGAGGTGCCTCATATATCACCGAACCCGGGCATTTAAAATGCAATGACTCTGCAATTTTCTTATTTTTTTTTTCCGTCTAAAATTCTGGAGAATTCGATTTCTGGCTATGCACTTGGCTGCAGGCAGATCGAGGAAGATTTTTAAGATAGAAAATTACTGAATAAACATAAATGACTCATCTTATTAACAATAACGGATCCCAAGGTAAATAAAAAGTAAAGTAAAGCTACCCCTGTAACAGACCGTGGAGGCCCATAGGGATGTGAGACGTCGAGGCTCCCACATTTTCTAGACAAACAGCTCACAGATGGCGGTGAGGTTGTCAGGCTTACGCGCCGGCCGCCTTTTTCTTCAGGAAGATTCCTGGTACTCATTTCTGTTAGAGGCTGAGTCAACCCCAGGGCTATAATGCAGTTGTAAGAATTAGGTCAATTGAAAAATGCAGTAACGTAAACAGGAATCGAACCCGCAACCTTACGACCCCAAGGTAAATAATCATCCTTGACTCTTTATGATACAGTGGTAACTATATGTACCACTCCCTTTAACATCAAGAAACACTGTATTTTGCCCACACAATATGGGTTTCCTCTGATCCTCACAATAAACAGATATGAATAGCATTAACGATTGGTTTTTGTAGCGCAGACAGTGTGTTTTCTGTGAGGAAGTAACTGAATAGTATCCATATGAATTCCAGATGCAGTTCCAGTACAGGAATCAAACCCAGGACTGTCCTCACAATCACATCAACTTGCACTACTCTAGGCTACGGATTAATAGCCCCCCGCACACTGGTCAAGCAGCTGGAGCCCGAAGCTGATGTCTAGAATAAGGATGCGTGGAGCTCTACCTACACTCCCCACTCAGTCTTCAGTGCAAGCTTTTTGCCAGACACTGTGACACTGGGCCCCACATGCAGCGCGACTGTGCAGACGTTGCGTGTGGGGGCGTCCAGGCTGGCATGTTGCTTCCGGGCTCTCAGAGCAGTTGATTCCGTCCTTGCGGTTTTGCACCGTGTTGATATGGGTAGTGTTGCGGACGTTTCGGAGGTACCTTCTGCCTCCATCACTCACTACTACACTGAAGATGCAGGCAGAATGGAACCCTCGAAGGTGAGAATTGCCCGGACGTAGGGGGTTCTGCCGTTTGTTTCCTTTCCGACGCCTGAAGGCTACGCCTCAGCCCCAGTGCCGTCCATTGGCTGTTTGTCTCTCAGTTCTGCTTTTGAAACTCTAAAGCTGGCTTCATCACGATTTATAGCCGCGTCCGAGCTGTCTACGGCAAAACACGTTAAATCGCGGGATCTAATTCATTTTTATGTGGTCATTAAAACTGGCCATGGGGTCGCAAGGTATGAAGCATATTGGCCTGGCTGGCGGAACTGGCCAGTTCCATAAAACAGAATATCTTGATTAGCGGAATGGTTATCGCCCGACATGGAGTCCAGTGGACCTTTTTCCGTGCCAGTAAAGGAGCCGGAGCGTGAAACTGGCACAGCTGCAGGCGCGACCCTCTATATATCGCGGTACGAGGCCGTCCTCATTTTTAAACTTTTCAATGCAGAACCGAAATAGCCGCCCATGGACTGCCCACGCGTAAAGAGGCGACACGGGAAATTGAAAGGGCCATAACAGCTTTATGGAAGGGCCATGGCCCGCTGTGGATACCCATGGATCGACTGTCCGTCCACAGACGAGGTTACGAATGCGTGGAGTAAACCTCCACATCCTTTGAACAAGTTCATGGCTTGGTATAACGTTCCTTTGCGTTTATTTGAAGAGTATAGGCGAGACAAGTGGGGAAATGTGCGCGCGCATGACGTAACAATATTAATGTGTTCCCGCGTTTCCGTTTAATTGTCTCTAAAACCGCAAGATTTACGGAGAAAGTGCGCTGGACATAAACTGAATGTGTTCTGTTAGGAACAGTTTTCGCTCCGACAGACATTTATCCGGTTACGTTCGCGCGCAGGTCTCCATGTGAAGCGTCCCGTATTGTTGCCTGATTTTAGCCTAAATTGCAATGTTTCAACAAATTGTAATGAAAATCCTCAATATAAAATTTCAGTAAAAAGCTTTTAGCGCGTATCGAGCTGCTACATGCGGACGGAGGCTTGACGAGGCTGGTAAGCTTACTTTTCTGTGATTTTTTGTTGAGAAATTTGAAATGGCGAAAGCGAGGCTTCTCGTTAGTGCAAGCTCCACGCGTTGCGCCTGTTATACAAACAAAACAGAGCAAACAATAGCCTTATTACAGTCATATAGCATCCTCCTAGCGACGCTCGGTCGGCACGACAGGTCACTGCCTGACCCCGGAATGTGTGAGACCCAAGGAACACATCCAGACATAACGGGGTTCAGCGGACCTAGAAACCCTTAAAGAATGAAAATTTTGGTTAGAGAACTTTTAAGAATGCGACAATGTGTTATTTTTAGGAGCAACTGAACATTAACAGTACAGCGGTAACTATATGTACCACCTACTTTAACACACAAAAACCCTGCATTCTGCCCACGCAGTGTATCTGTGTGTTCCTTATGGTTCTCACAGCAAACAGCGGCTGTTTCCCCAAACAGCAGTAACCGGTTGGGCTCTGTAGCGGAGACGTAGTGTTTACTGTGAGGTACGGACTGAACACAGTAAAACTCTGCATTCTGCCCACACAGTGTGTCTGTGTGTTCCGTATGGTTCTCACAGTAAACAGCGGCTGTTTCCCTAAACAGCACTGAGACAAATAGACTTGAAAGGATTCTGACGCTGGTGCATGCTGTACACAATTATTAGGCTTATTTTTGACTCTATCCATCGTCTGGTATACATAAGACAAAAGAAACAACAACGTTTCGGAGACTAGATCTGTCTCCGTCCTGAGGCAGATGGGGCAGAATAGACCTACTCAGTTGGGCCCGTTAGAAAGAGCTAGTCTCAATCACTGGACCTGTATGGATCATTGTCTTATATATACCAGACGATGGATAGAGTCCAAAATAAACCTAATAGTTCTGTAAAGCATTAACCGGTTTGGTTTTGTAGTTTTACTGCACAACTGTAACCGACAAGAAATCACGAAACTCGGCAATAGGTCCGAAATGAACACCCTGGACTACAGATTAAGTCGTTACCGCTGCATTAACCTTCTTTGGTTTTAAGTCTGAGTTGATCTGAACTTGGCTCAAACAGAGGACTTTTGTGTTTGAAGCATGGGAATGTAAACAATGGGAACTTGTTAACAATGGAGAAAACTGCACGGGGTCGGACCAAGGGAAGTTGTCTTCAAAACCCAACAAACATTATTTGACGCCGCCCCCCCCCCAATTATTCACTGACTTTCGTCAGTTAAGACGTGCTTTGTTACATTCTTGCTCTACTTCAACGTAATGAGCGGTTGTTCGCCCTTTCCTCCAGACGGCTCTGCCAGTGGAACCACTCGACAGGAAGCATCTATACGGGATATGCACCTTTGTTTCCGGACCTCACAGAGAACACGGCCTTGCGCAGCCGCAGTAAAACCCTGGGAGGCCCCGACCCTCGGGACAAGATAAGCCACGACGGCTGGGGACGTCGCTTGAGTTTCGAACCGACGTGTCGACGTATCGCGTTTTGATACTGATGACAACATATGGAGGTGAGTCGTCAGCTTAAAGCTGCGACCGCTTTATCGCCTGGAAAATATTCCCGTGATACTGAACGAAGTAAACTTTAATGAAAATCTGGTAATCGTGGACAGAATTTTACTGTAAAACGTCTGTCAGAGTATCGAACTAGGCACCCCTCATATGCGATGGAATCCATATTTCGGGTCATTTCATGAGGCCGCCCTGAGGTGGCGCACCTGGTGGCGCGAGCTGGAAGTGCTCCACACGATTATGGGATGAAATATGAACAAAGTTTCGAGGATATAAATACGAGACTTGTGCAGTGCTCGGCCCACGGTAAAGCGGCGCGTTCACTTGCAGCCCTGAGCCCTCTAGCAGCGTGACGTGCTGGCGGAGGGGCTGGGTTCGTGGCCTGGAGGATGACCAGAGAATTGTTGGGAGTTTGGAAAAGATCGTTCGTGTCCTAACCCAGGTACTAACCTGGTATTTGACTGGAGGGACTGGGGAAAACTACGAATAGCCTCCGTCAGGATGGTCGGAATCCCGGCCGAGATTCGAACCGAGCACTCTTCCGGTTTGGCGAAAGATGAGCCCAGAATATTGCTGCGTATAGACTCGTTGCTACGCAACAGAGCGGCATCCGCTGCTAGGGAAGTACTCAGTAAGCAGGTCCCCGCAGCCCGCCGCAAGACATTACCTACACGCATCCATGCCTCTATTGGAATTCGAACCCACGACCCCAGTGTTTGAGCGGGCGAAGACTGTTCATGCCTTAGAGCGCACGACCACCGCGATCGGCCCCCACTTTTAGCTACACGGAGGAGAGCACCGCTTAAGAAGCTGACAGTCGCTCAGCTACTCAAAAAAACCCCATCTTTCATGCAACCGGGTTGTTCTTTGAGGTTCACAAAAGAGATTCCGTCTGGCCGACGTCGGGATGCGCAGCGTCGGCTGGCAGGTTGACTGGCCAAGTGGGACGCA